ATTCGGATTAAGAGTAGGATCGTCTCGTGATAATCATAGGTTTATTCTATCTTGGGAAAGAATAATAAATAAAAGTGAAATTATCGATCGTCACAATTGCATGAGTTGAGATAATTGTCGTAGGTCGAGAATTAGAACTAAGAGTTGATTAGTGGCGTCGAAAATTCAATACATTCACTCATCTGAATTCTAAAACAAATTCTCATCAATTTTGCAATTTTTAGTTATAGAACTTAATTAGCTATTCAAACAACAATCAACTTTTAGTAAATCACACGAATTTAATTATATCGAATACACTGGAATTAGACCTTATTCCCTGTAGGACAATAACTCTTTCATTACAATTATTACTTGTATAACGAAACCGTACGCTTGCGGAATTTTGACGAATAACTTTCTTTTGGATTAATCCTAAACTCTTGGATTAATTTATAGGATTAATCTGGCTTTCTTGGGTTCTTCAATCTCGTTGTAGATTTCGTAGTCAACGTTGCTACATGGCTCGCATCATTTTACCCGCAAATGGATGGATAGGTGGAATAGGTGAACGCATTGTTGGAGTGTTATCCTTGGCACTTTGTTAGTACTAATCAGCGAGATTGGCGAAGTTGATGAACATAGCTCAATTTTTCTACAACTTACAGAAAAGCGAATCCACTAGACATAGTCCATTTGAGCTTGCAACGAGGTGACAACCTACAATGCATCACACTTTGCCTATGGCTGGTGATTCAAGCTGAAGTCTCAGAGTAATAAAAATGGCTAAGTCATGGAGAGATCATGCGGACTTAACTAGAACTTTCTTGGAGAAAGCCTGGAAGCGGATGAAAAAATGGGCCGATGAGAGACGAAGACCATTGGAAATCAAGTACCTGTGAAAGCGTTGCCTCAACAATTCAAAGCCTACCGCAAAGTTCATCAAGATTTGGTTAGAAAGTATGAAGTTTCGTTTCCCATCATAGCTAAGGTTGGAAGAGTTTCCTACCGGTTAGATTTTCCAAGTACTTTAAAGACCCATCAAAATTTTCATGTGAGCATGTTGAAGACATATAGGTTGGACTTGGAGGATGCAAGGAGAAACAAATAAAAAAGGGCACCTCCCGTTGTTACAAAATTTTTTGAGAAAGATGTTGAATCCATTTTGACAGATCGAGTGGTGAGACGGAGGGGTGTTCCCCCTTTGCACCCAATACTTAATGAAATGGAAGGGATTGCCCGATTTCCAAGCTACTTGGGAAAATGAAGGAAATCTATGGCAATTTGAGTCTGAGCTTCGTAACTACACGACGACGAGGGTGTCGCCAGATTTCGTGGGGGAGTGACTTACGTCCCTCGCGATCGCAATCTATCCATCCTGGTAACGACTGCAAAACAGCATGGACAACACGTTTCAGCAAGATAGAATAGCTTGCGGCAGGGAACGCATGCTTATTCAGACAACAGACGCAATCATCCTATTTGGGGCAGAACACAAGCGTTGCAAGCAGCCTGTTTTAACAGATTGCAGGCTGCTTGAAACGGACTATTTTCCAACACGGTGATGAAGTTTTTCTAAGTCCCGAACCAGCCATTTTAGAACGAAAATTACAAGGACCTACAGCCAACTATTTTTGGGGATGCAAGTGAAAAATTTGGCCAACTTGCACAATATCTAAAGTATTAAAAGGTTTGAATATTGAGATTAATAGATTTCATAAATCCCAATGGAAAACTTTTGTAAAAGATTCTGATTTGTTTCTTCATTTATCGGAATTGGTCTTGGAATAAAATCTCCTTCAATTCTTTTTCCATCTCCTTTAGGATTAGAACTAGATGGTTCTTCAATTCTAATTCCTTGTTCTGGTTTAGGTTCCCTAATAACAATAGGTTTCCTATTTGTAAAGAATCTTTCATGAATTACTACTTCTTCATCAGATTCAGAAGTATTTTCTTGTTCACTTAAGGATTCATTAGGTTTTGATTCCTCAGTATCTGATTTTATTGTCATAAGATTTTCATTGTTTCCAATGTTAATCTTTCTTACAATATTTTCAATCTTTTGTAATTCTGAGTCTTCGAATGAAAGAAGAACATTTAAGAGTCCTAGATCATTGCTAGTCTCATGAATATTTTCAAGATTTTTTTTCTGAATTTTGACATTTTAATTTCAAAATTTTATATCAAAATTTCCTTCATTTTTATTCAGTTTTAATTTCAAATTTATCTGCAATCTTAAGTTTTAATATTTTTTCAGATGTAACCCAAAATTGTTTAGGTATTATCCATTTACTTGCCGTACATACTGATGCTCTAGTATCTACAAAAGCATGAATGTTAATTTTTCTATATCCTTCAAAACTTAGTTTTATAGGACTATAGATAGATTTTGGATTTGTAATATTTCTATTACTCATCTTCAGATATTTCTGATTAAAGACCCGACGAGAGTGGGAGGAATAATCCGGACGGAGGGAATGCGTGGGGATGAGAAACTGCGCGATGTGTCGATCGATTGGCCTAGGCAACGCACGTTGCAACGTAGTGCTCGTAACTTCCCAATGTCCGATCGGTTGGTGCGAAATTGTCCCACATCAAGACCGTCGTGAGGCACAACGATGCAGGACGGAGCGCATGTGTGGGGACGAAACCGCATGGTGTGTCGATCGATTGGCCTAGGCATAAGACGTATGCTACAACGTAGTTCCTGCAACTTCCCAATGTCCAATCGGGCGGTGTGAAATTGTCCGAAAATAAGACCGTCGAAAGGCATAACGATGCAGGACGGACGGCAAATTTTAGAACTTTTAGAAAAATGTTATTCAGAAAATCTTTTAGACCCTAAAAAGAATAAAGGAAATATGACATCAACTATTGAACTGCTTGATGAATTGAACAAAGACCACTTCTAACTAGAAGTTTATCATTATATAAAAAATTACTTCCAAATGCCAAACGGAAGGAAGAACTATTTTTGGGGATGCAAGTGAAAAATTTGGCCAACTTGTACACTTGTGCCACTTTTTCACTTGTGCTACTTGGCCCACTTGGCCACTTGCAAGATAATATCAAAATACAAATTAAGTACAAGTTGGCACTATAAAAAGGACATATTCACTTGCAAGAAAATTTGTAGAGAATGTTCACTAGATACCAACTAGCATGAGTTATAAAGTTAAAATGCAACTTGATCAAATGAGATTTAAGACAACTTGCCACCAATGGGGACCCTTGGATCAAATTAATTTTGGCCATTAATTTCGAAGCAACTTGCAAGGTTTTGCCTATAAATAAAAATAGAAGTATCACTTGTAAATCATGGAAAGTGAAGTGAGTTTTATATATTATTGTAAAATTTTCCCTTTCATTTATACAAAGAAAGTTTTCCCAATCTTACTTATTTTCCATATATTCCTTACTTCAAAATTCTAAACATGGAAATGTTGACTTATTGTTTTCTCGTGAGGAACAAGAATTGCTGAACGTTAAGACCACACGATTTTAGTTGTTTGGGTGTAATGAAATTAGGTCGTGAGATTATGCTCGTAAAATTTGATAGTATTAAGAAGGAAAAGTAAATTAAAATTCTGTTCATCGTAATGTTCAGTTACTTCAATGCAATTTAATATTATAAATTAAACATGCATTTACGAAGTATAAATTCATGGCATGGAATTTTACTTCCTCATTTTACATTTCATGCAAGACAAAATTGTGATGTTCATCTTATAGTACGATTAATAATTGCTTGTGTCGGACATTTCAACAATTAACACTCATCCTTAAAGACTTTTCATAACTTATAAATTATAACTGAATTGAGAATTATTCAAATAAAGGATAACAAAATGCCGTCTGCAATTTGTTTTACATACACAGTCAAAACCAGGGAATCAGTAAAAAGAGGACACAAAAAGAAATGCAACTTGCCATTAATGATTGATTTGTACTAGTAAATAGTACTTCCATTAACACATTTACTGTTTCTGATTGATTCAAGATTAATTGATGATGTCAAATATTGATTAATTATTAGAGATGATATTGCAAAAAAAATAAAAAAAAAATGTCTATGTTTGACACCTGCACACAATATATAAAGAGAGAAGAAAAGAAAAGAAAAGAAAGAGAGACAAAAAAGAAAATGATTTAGTGTATCTAATCTTGCCCCCACATGCCTTATCCTCTGCACATTTTTTCAAGCTTTGCATGGCATCTTCCACGCATATGCCTAACAATTATAGACATTCTTTAATGAGCCTTCTCACGCTGCTTTTGAGTATTTTATTATACACAATTTTCAAAGTTGTTTTTACTTTCATAAAAAATAAGTCCAAACTCATTTTCCATGTTAGGTTGTGATGACCAAATAAAAAGTAGAGACGGATATGGTTGGTTGGTGGGTGCGAGGGGGGCTGGGCTGAGCCGTAACCCCGCCCCACTCAGGCCCAATAACATTTCTTTTAAGGTGTTTATTTATTTTATTTTTTTTTGGATAAAAAATCAATTTTTTATGTGTAAATTTTTTTCCCACGTAATAATCCGATTTGAAATTTTGTAACTCAATCTTGTACCCATCCCTGAATAAAATCTCAGAGATTTCATATCCGACTCCATAAGTCAAGACGAAAACATACTGGACCCAAGTCTGATGGACATTTGGAGAAAAGCCGAATATTTGGGGTGTTACTCAATGGCCCAATCTAGTGTAATCAATCTGCACCGTTAGATGAGATTGGATGAAAGGTCAATGGTGGGCATTGCTTTTCAGCCCAATTGAGTGTGATAATCTCTTTGTGAGATCTTCTTCTCCTACATTCATTGTGAGTGTATTCTAATTCAGAGGAAATCACTGGTCTCTTTCTGAACCGTTTTTCTTGGAGTGAGAGTTCAGATTTTAGGTTCGATCCTTTGAAGTGATTATTTTTGTGACACGAGGGTAAATTGAGCTCTAGCTATTTCTTAGCCGCTACTGATATTGAGTAACTTAAATATTGTTGGTGCAATTTGACTGGTAGTCGATGGAAGGGAGTTCATCTCAAGGTATGTTGGTTTTTTCATATGTTGTATTTCAACGTTTATGTTGATAATATATTCTGGGGTCCCATCCGTACACACGTAAGTCTGGTCCAACACGTTAAGATACGTGAATGATCTAGAACTAGTAGTAAAAGGGGCGTGGAAGCAATTCAAAGGCGCGGGACAAGAACGTTCGGAATTCGATGAGTGTTTGCATAACGATTGTACAGTTTATATTTCTGTGTAAAATCTTGCCATTTGGGAGTGAATTTTGTACTACATCCTTCATAAGTAACATAGCTATTCATATATTTTCAAAGTATGTTACTTTAATCACCGAAGTTCATCAACTATGTAATTTATATTTTAAGTAAGAAACAGGATGGTGGGGGCAATGTACAAGTTGTACATAACTATTCCCTCTTAACCGGTGAGAGAAATGTGGACATACGACTCGCTGACTACAGTACAATATTGAAAAGTATAATAAGGGACGACAGGGACTTTTCTAAAAATTGTTTTATCATTAAATAAATGACACAGACAGATTAATTAAGTCTACAATCAATAATCCACATTATATTTATAATTGAAAACAGCTATAGATGAGCCCTACACCTCATCTTGGATTGCTTGTTTGAAATGGCTTAAAAAATTGCTAATCAGTTGAAAATAAAGTAAAGAATTAATATAAACTATATATTTCATGAAATTCACAACTTGTTAACTTTTATCAAAAGATTTCTCAAACAATCCTTAAATGTGAACGTTTTTCCACATTTCTATATTTTCGTTTAATGCCTAGACATCGACTAAGCTTAAGATTATATTTTACTAATGATTTTCACTGGAAACAAGTTCAGTACATTTAAGTCCACGTATTTTTTTTTGTCACAACCGATGAATATTTTGTATGAATATTATTTGATCTAAAAGATATAATCGATATGTCTTCAATATAATAACATTTTAAAGAATTTAAGAATTGAACAACAGATTTCAACTCGAGATTAAAGATTGTTAGAGCAGTATATTATATAAATATAATATTATTTATTTTGCTAATGGTAGATTAGGAAGAGGATCGAATTATTTTATAATGTCGGTGATTAAAATTTAATTAATTATAAAATAATGACGGTGATTAAAATTTAATTAATTATACCATGCAATGCAATTTTATAAGTTATTAACCTATATACAAGTTGTATTAAGAATAATTAATAGTATGGAAATCATATAAAAGGAGAAACATAAAAAGATACATTTTTTCCCGATGATGATGATGTATATATAATCATTTATACAAATTTTGTTATTTTATTTGATATATTATTATTCGTTTCGCATGTTTAAATATATTTAAGAGATTATATATTACATAAAGTTAAGTTATATACATTTTATTATTTGTGAATATACTTTTATATTTAAAACCAAAATACAGATACTAAATATATTTATATATAATAATGCAAGTGAATTATATAGGTCTACCAGTCAATGTCATGCAATCTTTTGGATTAAATTTTGAACATGTTTCACCTTAGCATATTAATTAAATATGTATACCTGTCTTTCTTCTTTGATGTCACTCCACACCTAACTTCGGGAACAATCATAGAAGTTCACTATCCACATGGTTAATTAAAGAATATTAATATTAAAGTTTTTATGATGTTACTCTATTCATTAATCACACTCATGAGTAGCGAGACGAAAAAGCACTTGAATAATCTTTAAGTCCTATCATTTTTTATAAAGATACTCTAACTCAAGACTCGTAGATACTATTAAGATATTTTTTCGAACAGAATGATACAACAAACGAGGAATTTAATACTTTACAAAGAGTAGTTTGACACTTGTGAAAGGGGTTCTATATCCTTTTTGTGGTTTTTTATTCTAGTATTGGAAATATTTCAAGGAGAGATACTAATCCTTTCAAAATACGATATTGGCAATTATTATATTAAACATTTATTAAGTGTGAATATACATACAATTTTAGAAAATGTGATCTCGATGTGAAATTTTGCATTATCCAATTACATGCTAAATTGTCCTTTCTGGATCTATAAGTTTTATTCTTCCACGGTATATTTAGTTTCCACCTAGCATTGATTTTGAGAAAAAGACATCAATGTAATGTATTTAGACTTAGAATATAACCAAATTAGAAACTAGAAATGACATCTTATAGTTCTATCATGTATCTCTCATTTCAATCTTATTTAATAGTGCTATCCCAGGATAAAAAACATGTCTTAATCCAAAGGTAAAACCACCTATATTCTGTGGACTTTTATCTCGAATTATCAAATGATAAAATCTCATGTAATGTACAAATTTTCTTGTTCAGAATGAGCAAAATTGACACGCAATTTCTTTTACTTTTTCTACATGTAAAAGAATTGATGAAATCTCTAGAAAAGGTTAAAGGAAATGATGGTTGAACATGGTTAAATAGCGAAACTGTGGACTGACTGAGTTGACAACATTAGATTGAGTTTTTTTTTTTTTAACTGCCCATTCATGTTTCGACACGTATTCCCTTTGTTTTTAACCCTGTTTTTTAGCATTTCTTAAAAGTAAAAGATGATCATTTCCTTTTAAAAATATTATTTTATTTACATGGATATTTCTTTATTGTAAAATCATTCATTGTCAAACTGAGATAAAGTTTTACTCCATTATTGTTTCTCAAAAAACTGAACATAATCACGTTTTCAATTTTCAAACTTGTCTCCGTATTATCTATGAATAGAAAATGAAGAAAAACAGGTGTAACAGAACAAGTGTTGGATCTAGAACTTCTCCCACCTCTATTTAAGGGTAATTGGTGCAAAATGTCCCTACCTTTCGAGATTATCGTGGAAAACATCTGTACTTTTTATTTTTTGACATTTTTACCCTTATTTCAATCTTTCGTTGCGTTGAAGGTCTTTTTCATTATTTTGAAACGTAAAATGACAATTATACCCTCTTATTTAGAACAAAAAAGGGAGAAAATTTTAGAATAAATTGCAAACTTACCCCTAAACTTTTAAAAAAGTGCAAATGAGTCCCCAATACTTAAAATATTGAAAATAACAAAAAAACACTTTCTCTTCTCTTCCCTTCCTCCACTGCCACCTTTCAAGTCAAAAAATTCCGACTAACCACCTTCCAAACCACCGGAAAGCCCTCACTTTCCTCTACACATACCACCCAATGGGCTTCCATTAATTTCATTCTAATGGTACAAATTCTCATTCACGCAAGTTAGGTTTCATTTCTCGGTTTCTGAATGAATAAAATGGGGAAGACCTATATGCTTATTGGATGCGCCATGAGGTGTAGATACCTCAGGTGGTGGTTAGCGATCATGGGTCCCACGATCAACGTAAAAAAATCGCCTGAAAGCTTTGAACATCGTTTTAGTGTGCATTAAACGATGTTTGAGGACCATGGGCAGGGACTGGTGATCGCCTGAAAGCTGCACAGCGACTGTGTTTCTTAATTGCGTGCATTAAACGATGTTTGAGGAGCATGGACAGGGACGTTTTACTGTGTAGAATCGATCTAGGGCATGGATGTCACCGGAAGTGAAGATTCTAGCACTGTTTGTTGCAAGTAACCTATTTTGGCTTGAATTTCCAGGCAAATGGATTGAAGTTATGGCCGGATCTTGGGTGGATTGCGAAGAGGGAAGTGAGAGCTTTAAGGTGGTATGTTAGTCACTTAGTCTGGCCAAAGTGGCGGTTGTGTAGGGCATGGGTGTCGACGAAAGTGAAGATTTCGACCACTGTTTGTTGTGTGGATAACCTATTTTTGCTTGAATTTTCGACCAAATTGATTGGAGTTATAGCTGGATCTTGGGTGGGTTACGAAGAAGGAAGTGTGGACTTCAAGATGCTATTTGGTCCCATGCCCAAGGTGGCCGGAGGGTGGAGTTTTGGTGGTCCATAAGTGGTGGTTCTAAAATCTTAGTTGTGATGGATTGAGGGAGTATTGGAGACTCAATTGTACTTTTTTTAAAAGTTTAGGGATAAGGTTGCAATTTGTTTTGAATTTTTCTCATTTTTTTTTTGGTTTTTTGTTTTAAATAAGAGGATATAATTGTTATTTTACGTTCCAAAACAGTGAAAAGGAACTTCAGCGCAACGAAATGTTGAAATAAGGGCAAAATGCCAAAAAATGAAAGATATGGACGTTTTCCACAATAATCTCGAAAGATAGGGATGTTTTGCGCCAATTACCCTCTATTAATTTCTTCCCTTTTCTTCTTCATCGTGTATTTCATTTTTTGTTGAACCTTTAAAATGTACGAAAGACTCAATTATTTGAATAATCAATGAACTTTTGAGTAATATTCACAGCTCGGTTGGGTGGAGGGAGTTTGACGAAGGATTCTTCCTATAGTCTTTGTCCGAAATAGAGAACTCATCAATAAATCAATCGGAGGCTAAGTCTGTGCTTCCCCATTGATCAGACGATATTAATTTAATTCTCATTGTTAATTAATTTCATTTTACTCCAAGTTTTTTGAGGGAAAATAAAAAAAGAAAAAAGGGAGGAATATTCAAGGCTGCGGTCTATCTAAAGTTGATTTGGTCTTCAATTAATTTGTGTAACTAATTACATTATTTATTGTCGCACTTGTCTCAAAAGTAGAAATGTACAGTTCTACATAAAGTGGTCCAAAAGAAAATTCAGTATGGTAAATTAGTTACTATCCTTGTAAATTTCAATTTTAACCATATATTATGAGATGAATAATTTTTTATCAAAATTTGTTAAAATTTTTAACAAAAATTGTATCATACATGCCATGAGTAGTGACTTTAATATCGAGCCAATAAAAATATACACTTCGAAAATTATATATTACACACATAATTTCTTCATTATTCTTTTTCTTTATATATAAATTATATATACGTAGCAATAATAATACTTTTTGTTTGCTTTATCTGCTTTTGATGAGCTTGCAGACACTAAAAAACAAAGGCCAAAAACAAAGTTAAATAATTGAATTTTGCTGCTTTGTCCGAAATTTTGTGCCATAATGGTTGACATCCCCTCACATGTCATGGATCTTATGTGAATAAAAAAATCCCAAAAAAAAGAGTGAACCCTGAGTTGGTAACCCCTCTATCCACCACCACCCAAGAAGCCATACGTCTACAAGTCCCCTCCACCACCACCCAAGAAGCCATACGTCTACAAGTCCCCTCCACCACCACCCAAGAAGCCATACGTCTACAAGTCCCCTCCACCACCACCCAAGAAGCCATACGTCTACAAGTCCCCTCCACCACCACCACCTCACAAGAAGCCATACGTCCACAAGTCCCCTCCACCACCACCCAAGAAGCCATACGTCTACAAGTCCCCTCCACCACCACCCAAGAAGCCATACGTCTACAAGTCCCCTCCACCACCACCCAAGAAGCCATACGTCTACAAGTCCCCTCCACCACCACCCAAGAAGCCATACGTCTACAAGTCCCCTCCACCACCACCCAAGAAGCCATACGTCTACAAGTCCCCTCCACCACCACCCAAGAAGCCATACGTCTACAAGTCCCCTCCACCACCACCCAAGAAGCCATACGTCTACAAGTCCCCTCCACCACCACCCAAGAAGCCATACGTCTACAAGTCCCCTCCACCACCACCCAAGAAGCCATACGTCTACAAGTCCCCTCCACCACCACCCAAGAAGCCATACGTTTACAAGTCCCCTCCACCACCACCACCTCACAAGAAGCCATACGTCTACAAGTCTCCCCCACCACCACCTCCAGTCCACTACCCACCACCCCACCATTACTACTACAGTTCTCCTCCTCCTCCTCCTCATCACTACTAAGAACCTGCAACCAGATTTCCAAGGTGCATTTTAATGATTTTCAGAAAACACTATTTAGATTTCCAATTTCTGAAAAAATTATTTTCACCAACTTATAATTAAGTTAGAACATTAATAATTACTTAATCCTAACGACGGAAAGTAAATGTATTCTTGCAGGTAAGAAGAATGTTCTGCATAAGAGAGTAGATGTGAAAGCGATGGAAGAACGAGAAGAATAAAATAAGCTGCGAAGGAGAATGTGCTTCCATATCCAGCCTGCACGTTTTCTTTCAGATAGTTTCTTAGTGTGTTTTATTTACCAATTTCCCATATTTATGTTTATATTTCATAGTTAATCTCCAGGTAAATGCCTGAGGTTATTTGCATGTGTTTTAAATCCAATAAAATAACAACGTTTCAGATCCATCATTCGTCTTCAAATTTGTGGTCTGACTTCGTATTAGAATGGGCAAAGAACCTGAAATTTCTCTTTAGGATTTGTACTCGTTTTGTAACCTAAAATAGATCGTATAATAATCAAGTCAATATCCTTGTAGTTTTTTGCCTGGACTAATTAAAAGTTGGAAGCAATTATTAATTATAAATTTAAGCAGCTAGCATGGCTTGTCAATCAAGCCGATTAAGAGCCACTTGTTGTATGGCTTCATGGCTTGTGGATAAAATCATATGTAAAACCGCGTGTCGTCCACTTTGAGTTGATTCATCTAACAACTTGCATAAATTGCTTTTCAAACGAATTTTACCAAAAAATACAAATTGTGGTACTCTTAGAATCTTTTCCTCAAAGTAACTTCTATTTCAAATAGAGTAAGGGTCCATTTGGTATGACCTTTGAGAGACTAAAGAGCTATTGCAATTCAAAAGCTATTTTGGATCCGTTTGATTAATTTTATAGAAGTATTTTTTTTTTAATTACAGTAGTTTTTAGAAAAAAGTTGGTACAATGTGACTTTCTCTAAAAACTCTTCTGAAAGAGGTAGCTCCTTTAGAAATTAATTTTCAGATATCAATTAAGATAGCTTTTTAAGAAAACTCTTCTACAAAAAAAACACATTCTTGCCAAACGAACCTAAATTTGTGCCAAACTTTAGACGTCTCAACTACATTGAAGTCACTTTGATAACAACTTTCAATTACTACGGAATGTTATCTATGATGGAACAAGAAAGTGATATGCATGAATATTATAAAAGAGTAACGATATTCATAGTCAGCGATTGAAATAGTTATTTTATGTTATAATTTGTTATCTTAGACATTAACTTATTATTTGAGGTAACAAAATTATAGAAAATTAATGTCTCAAATAACAAGCTACTATTTAGAATGATTACTGCAGTTATGGACTATGAATAATATTATTCATTAAGAATTATAATGAATAATGACCTAATTGAAAGTCATTAGGATGGAAGAACCATATGAGAGTTAATATTATCATTATTCAAAGTGATACTTTAGATTTTTACCGTTAATAATTTTTTGTTCAAATATCTTCATTTTGTTCTACCCTTTTTCTTGAATACATTAAGGCAATGTCGCATGCATCAGGAAAATAATGAAATTTGGATGTAGTGTATTTTCAAAATTAAAAGTAATTTTCCCTTAATCATAAGAGACTAATTTAACCCTCCTTTGAGCACAAGAATTTTCCATGGAAAGTTATGCCAACAAGAAATCTCTCGTCATCAAACATATGAATTCTTGTAATGCATATACTTAGGATATGGGTCTTGGATTCTACTTAATTTTTCAATTTTATAAAGATTTTCCAACGTATCCATAGGTGGTGTTAATCAAATCATAGTGTGTCACAAATAAAAAATAAATCTTGATTGATGAAATTGGTACAAGAAAAGAGAAAAAAATTGGATGAGTATGCAATAAAGACAAGTCCAGGACCATGCATGATTTGAAATATCGGGTTCCACATATTCTCGAACAAAGGAATAAACCCAAAGGATACTAATTATATATTGGCATTTTATAATTTGATTTTCGAAATTCTTGTTTGTAAATAATTAAGCGGTTCACCTACACCAGTTTGAATTATCCTTTAATTTAATGTAATTGATCTTTTTCTGAAATTTATTAATATATATTTTTTAATTTAGAACCTAGTTGAAATTAATTTTACAAGAATGATCTCCACCCGTGCTTACCTTGTATTAATTACGTGTCCATATATGTATACAATTATATATTATTATGACGGAATAATTTAAATTATGTAATTACTACAATTACGTGCATCTATATATATATATAAATATAATTATGGGATTTATGTAACACAAATAAATAATAGATAAGAAAATGACATTGTAAAATAGCTCCATTGACCTTTGACAGTAAAGGATATCATAAATTGGCAATTTCCACTTGGCTACAAATTGTACACACATGTATATTGAGTTTGAAGATTCAATTTTAGATGTTTAACATAATAAAGAAAAGTAGTAAGTGCATGCGACGACTAAGGTTCTACAAGAACTCAATTGAAAGAGGATAGGGAGGATCACTTGAACTTCAAACAAATCGAATTGCTTCCAACTTGTATTGAAACCATGTCGAATTATAAAATTCTATCCTAAAAAGTCACTCTTTTCAATATATACGTATATAAATGTACAAATGCACGTATATATTTACATAGTATTTTGTAGTTTTGTCGAGTACGAACTCTCAAGTATTAGCGTAGTCAACACTTTTTATTATTTCGTTGTAATCGACCTTTATTAAATAATATTACCATGAAAGGAGCTTAATGCAGTGTAGCGTTATGGATCCACCTACCCAAATCTGGATAAAATTGGAGCATGTGGGAGTTTTCACCTACCACATTTCTCGTCCACATGACGTTTAAGATTCAAAGACTGAAACCCATATATTGTGATTTGCAATTATCTTACAAATTTTGTCATAAATTCAGCTGACTAATGCATTTCTTATGTTCCAATTTTCTCGAGGACCATTTCCCAACTAGTATAGCAATCAATTTTGCAATTGAATAAATAAATATAAATACATCTATGTACATTCTTAAAATCTTTTACAGACTATATTTGTCAATGGTGCGGATCCAATTCCTACGCAAGCACCCGTGGTTGTGCGTGCTAATCCCTCGGGATCAAATTTTTTTCGTTGCAATAGATTAATTTTTAGTTTATATTACTGGAAATTTATTTTATTTTCAAACATCTCTTGTAACTCATTTGGTTAGAGCTTACATGTATGTGGAAGTCTTGGATTTGAATCCCTTAGCAACAAATTTGTTTTGCAATATTTTTATTCTACAATTTTTACCAAAATTCAATAACGAGGAGGACCAAAGGGAATCAAACTTGTTATCTCTTGTAAGTATTATTGTAAGCTTGATCATTATGACACTTCTTGAATTTTGACACTAGATTTAACAAAATAATATTTGTTAAGTTTTAACTATTTTAATGCAAGTATAATTTTAACGATTCGAATCCCCACTCTTCCTTTGAATTATACAAAACTTGGTAACACTGTCGTTTGATGAGTCCAGTTTATTCTTATAACAAAATTATAAATGTTCAATTTAAACAAACTAATTGCTTTATTTTTTTCTCTCTTTTTTTCAACCACACATTTTCAATAAAATAATATTAATGCAAATTCAAATTTTTTTTCACTTTTAGCCAAACATTCTCCATCAAATCATTATTCAGAAATGCATTTTTTTTTACAAAAAAATAGATATCAAACGGGCTTTTAATATTTTATTGCGGCTCACGATAGAAGGTCAACGACCGCTCATGTTGACTCAAACTCTTGGATTCGCCCATGTTTGTCATCATGTAGACTTTTGTAATTTTATATATTGTTTACTACGTGAAGATATGTAAATAATTTGATCGACGCTTTTCCTTCAATAAAATGTATGTTTCTTAAATGATGAATTACTAACATACAAGTGAACGTTGTAAAGATCATACAAGTAATTGTTAGCCAATTAAGATTTGACCCTTATTTCACGTACCTATTAATTTATTTACTCTCAAATATATGAAAGATTATAACAATCCCCTCTTTGATAAAAATTAAAATTAAAATTTTAATTCAAGTCGAAATCAATAATTAAGTTTAACCACATATTTTATGAGATTCATAACTTTTCAACTATATATTTCATCAACTTTTAAAAAAAGAATAATAATAAAAATAATAAAAATCTGATTTTAATTTTCATGGGCTAAGCCTGTCCATGCATTATGAGGAAACAATATGGTGCTGTGGGTTCGACATTCCAGCATGGTGGTCCAGAACCTAAAGTTTCAATCAAATTTATTTATTTAATTAATCAATAATTGAATGTTGAAAAGTCTGTTTGTAGAAAATGGAGGAGTTCACCAACTCAGACACAGACACATGCATGGCATAGATAAGATTATCTTAAAAAGCTGAAAGGACTAAAAGAGACTGGATCTAGGTTTTTACAGCTATATTTTTGTTATTTCATTGTGTAGAAAAAAAATTGTCGGTGGAGAAAATATTCTATACATCTACGATAAGGAGAAAAAAAAAAAAAGAACTTATGCATAGGAAGAGGAAGAGTTAATTAAACGAGTAATTAACAATATTAATCTTTGATTACTAGTTGTTTACTTAAAAACAAAAGGTTGCTAGTTACTCGCTCATTTTTACCCAATGTTACCCGTCCATCATCCACCTAAACAAAAAAATTCACGTGATGAATGAAAGTCTTACTTTGTAATAAATGGTGTAAAAACTAGGAAGTTAATTAAATTAGTAATCACTGATAGTTACCTGGATTACTACTTGCTCACTAAAAAGTAAAATGTTACTAATTACTTATTCATGAAACGCCATCTTCGCTGAATGGTTTCAAAACACTTGCAAGCTCGTCAAGCTTGTCCTGCTTAAGTAAACGTGTTCATGCTCCAAGCAAAGACTCTAAAGCATTGATGGGATTTTCCCACTTGCCATTGCTCTTGTCCTTGTCCACC